TGCGCCACCGGGCCGGCCCGAGGGTTGTCTGAATATTAACTAAAATAAAATGACTTGGTGCTGTCCGTCGTTATTGGTGGAGAAAAATCACTTGTCTTTATGGAGCTGGGCCTCAGTCGTGACCACTTCCTATCTCCCAACGCAGCAGATTTATGGAGCCCTACACCATCTTGGAGAGGCCTTAGGACATGCAGTGCTGTGCTGGTTGAACTAGCAGTGTGCCTCCTCTAGGACAGGAGGCACCCCAGGCCATGTCCCCTTGGAGCCAGAGCACTGATGTACTGGGTTCTGACTCTCAGATTGGCCTTGGCACACTGACATCTAATTTGACTCCAATTTTTGTTCCCTTGACACTCTGTCCTCAGTCATGAAAGTACATGTGATAAGATTTTGCTTAATCACCTATGATAGTTATTTTTATCAAAAGCTTATTTTCCTTCCTGTTAAAGTAGCAAAAAACCTGTTAAAAACAAGAAGAACGTAAAGAAGGTAATAATGACTTCGTAATTCCACCCTCTATACGCGATACATGTATACACGTATCACCTTTTAATGTAGCTCCTCCCATCGTTACCAGTTTTTTTAAAACATAATTAAGGTTTTGTTGTACAGACAATTTTATAACCTGATTCTTTACTTTGCAATTCTTAATTAAGCTATTTTATAATAGATTATTTCAAAATTATTGTCTCCTGTGAACAGCCCCTTAACTTCATAGGCAGGGAAGATGTTTTTATTCCATATTATAGATATGAAAATGGAATCTCAGGGAAGTTTAATTTATTGAACAAATATTTGGTGACTGTCATCTATAATCTAAGCACTGTGCTGTCAAGTGTGCTAAGGTCACTCCACTAAGTGATGAAATCAGCCAGAACATAGGTCTACTGACCTAACACCTGCTAAGTCCACACCTCCACGTGTCCATCTTCTTCCCCAGATCTAGACTGATTATAAAAGTTGATCTTGGAGAGGAGAATGTAGTGTTCAAGGTGAGGGAGGGATCCTGAGATGGGTGTGAGCAAGGCAAGGTCCAGCTCAAGAGCCTGAGATTCTCGACAGCTTTTGAGGACAGAGTTTTGACCCTTGAGAACAGAGCAAGGCACCCAGATCCCACAGCTGGCTCACAGACTTAGGCCCAGAGTAGAGGGCAGTAGAGATTATTTCCATTGCAACTTTCTTTAAATCATCGAGACTGGGCTAAGCTTTCATTAGTTGTGATGAATGTGTGACACTAATGTAACATCTTAACACCAGGGGAAGCTGGGCATATATGGGGTATGCACATCCTCTACAACTTTTCTGTAAGTCTAAAACTATCTAAAATGAAAGATTATTTTTAAAAATAAGTGACAGTTTAACAAACCCAGAAGAAAAGAAATATTACCCAAGCTGAAGGAGTCAGTTAGGAAGGAACATGAGTTAGACTATATACTGTGGCTACATGCACTGAAGAGAGGCTGAGAGGTGGGGCTGGCTAAGGATTAAAAAGGCCTTTCTCTTAGGTCAAACTTAAATGTGTTAGGATTTATTCTGCAGGAAATGGGAATTCATTAGAAAAATTTAATTAACATAATTTATGTTTGAATTTATTTATTATAAAGGTATATACCAACACATTGGAGGATGGGCGGGAAGAGAGAGAAGTTGAGGACAAGGAGACACTGAAGAGGCTATTGCAATGGCCTGGGGCAGAGGTGCTGCTGCCTGGAGCCAGGCAGTGGGCTCGGAGCAGAGGGTGCTGTGCAGAGGCCCTGAGAGGCAGAGCCCTCCTTAGAGCTGAGCTAAAACCCCAGCAGAACAGGGCTTCATCCCAAATGCTTCTTCCTGCCTCCATCCTCCATTCTCATGCCTGATTACAATCCCAATAGAAAGACAGGTAGAGCCTGGTTAATCAAGGCCAAGCAGAGCCCCATTCCAGGTGCTCATCCAAGCCAGGGCAGCAGAGTCAGGATGCTCCTCCACTGTGCCAGGGAGGTTTGGCAGCAGATGTTAGGAATTTAAGTCCCAGTGTAGGACAGAATATCCAGTCTCTAGAATTAACAGGACATTAGGACAAGATTGCCTCCATTATAGCTTTGTGAATCATCAAGACGGTCAATGGGACCTTTGTAACTGCACCCACACCCAGAAGGAGTAGCGGACTACATAGTAGGATTAAGCAGCTCCAGTGCCTGGGCTAGGCAGTGTTGGGAAGGTGAAGGAAAATGGTCAGGGCCCCTCAGATGTTCAGAATCTTGCCAAGCATTTGATGTAAATATGCACATGTGCCCAGGTGTTCCTTGGCTATTGTCTGATGTAATTGCACATGTGCACCCAGGTGTCCTTGGTTATAGCCTTAAGTATAAAGGATGAGTGGCTCTGATCCACGGGCACCTCCACCCCCGGGATGCCCCCGGAGGGCCATGGGGAGGCCTCTACTGCTGCTGCAGGCTGTTGCTGCCAGTGCCCCGGGATGCCCCAAGAGGCCACCACTACTGCTGCTTCTGCTGCTACTGCTGAGGACTGAGCTCATGTTGTTTGCTAGTGGCTCCCGGGATCTTTCCTGATTACCTAGTGTGGACCTGCATGTGAGGGGTCTATGACCCAGCCTGACATGTGAAGGGTCTCTTGACCCAGCCTAGAATGTGAGTGGTCTGATGACCCAGCCTGGCACGTGAGGTGTCTGTGACCCAGTCTGTAAAATGGGTTTGAAGGGTCTGAGCCCTAGCCCTGACAATACAAATGGAAACTTAGTATAACTAAATTAATGAAATGTTTTGGCTTTAGTTATGAATTGCTTTAACAATAAAATTGGCGTAGTCGCCTAACCCTACAGGAGATTTGGGGGATGTAGACGCAGGCAGTCCAAATACTCGTACACACTCATGTCTGACCCCTGGGTCCATGTTGGAGCATTCAAAGAATACAGGGAATGAACCCCTTGACTCCATGTCCTCTTTTCTTTGCCCATCATTTTAATCCAGCTGCAGGGATCAATTCGGAGTCCCAGCACTATTTCTTGAAACCCAATGCAGAAATAGCCATCGTATTTCCTTCTCACTGTACCAATTCCCAGAGTGTGATATCTTGGGTATCTCTGATGTCCTTGAGCAGAATTATGGGTAAACCTTAATTTGCTCTTCACAGCAGTGCCCTACCAAATTAATTAGTGGTGGTGGTGGGGCTCATGGCCATGCTCTTAACTAAATTATTCATTCATCACTGCCAGGCATCCTGTTATTTAGGATAAAATGGGTCTTACTGGGTATCATGTCTAAAGTGACAACAGGAGATTCCAGGTCCTCTGTAAACTGACTCTAGAACTCCACCTCTCATTCTGATGGTTCTGCTTTAGGTCTCATAATTGGAGTAATCTTCCAGGTGTGATGGTCCCTCAGGTTCTGGAACTGTGGTCTCATAATCAGGGGTCAGTGTGCAGACCCTGCCGCAGATGTCAGGACTATGAGAAATGCTGGGAGAGTAGAAGTGTCCTCAGCTGGAGCTATTGGTGGCTCCTTTAGGGCTCCCAGTGGCACTTCTCCACAGAGGGATGCTTCTACTGCTCAGGCTAATGAGGGGTCTTATGGATTTTCCTTGACAAAGAGTAGGTGCTGCCTGTGGAGTCTGATCCTTCATCCCCTTGCTACTTAAATGATGGTCCCCGGATTAGCGGCAGCAGCATCACCTAGGAGCTTGTTAGACATGAATAATTTCAGGCCCCAGGAAATGCATACAAAATCCCTGGGTGATTTGTGTGTGTGTCGCAGTTTGAGAATTACTGCTTGAATCTACAACAGTGATTCACAATCCTGCATATGCATTAGAATCACCTGGGGAGCTAAAATACCCATCTGTAGCCTGCAACAGACCAATTAACATCTGAATCTCAGGGGATGGGGCCCAGCCTTCAGTATGTGTTAAATGCCCCCTTAAGAGAAATACTGTACAGCCAGGTTAGAGGCCCAGTGACCTACAAGGGCAGGGGCTGACAGCCTTGGCTGAGCAGCGGGACCACTTGGGAAGCATTCATATGCCCCGTGCCCAGGCCCTGAGGTCCCAATTTAGTTAGTTTGAGATGGGGCTGGGTATCTGCATTTTTTTTTTTCTATCTCTCCAATTAATAGCTGAGAATCATTTACCAGAAAAAGGTTTCATTATTGTTGCCCAGGCCCAGGCCCTGAGGTCCCAATTTAGTTAGTTTGAGATGGGGCTGGGTATCTGCATTTTTTTTTTCTATCTCTCCAATTAATAGCTGAGAATCATTTACCAGAAAAAGGTTTCATTATTGTTGCCCAGGCCGCGCAGGGATGCAGGAAGGGGAAGCAGTCCCCAAAACAACTGTGTCTCCTCTATGGTTTCTGAGCCAGAACAGGGTCTCTTCCACCACCTTAGGATGCCTGTGAGAGAAGCATTGGGCTACTCCTGCAGGCTCAGGAGGATAGGGCACACCCAGAGCACATTTATTCTGTCATTATCCTCTACCTGCAAATTATGAAGCTTCCACTGCAGTGAAAACAGACAGCATCTCTTGAGCCTGCTTGCAATAGGCACCAGGGAGTTACCCAGCTCTGCCTTGGGTCTTTGTTACTTGTTTTCCTGCTGAGCCTCATCGTACCCATCGAGGCAGCAACAACTAGACCCAAGGGCTCTGTGGCCTGGGCATGTCAAAGAAGTAATGAAGGAGCAGGGTACTTTGTGGGAGACACAGTGACATGTCCTCTGTGGACACAAGATTGGATATAAACATTTGTTCTAGGGACAATTTCTTACCAATTGGTTCCATTTTAGGAGTGTGCCAAATCCTGGAGATCCAGGTGATTTGATGGAGGAAGTGGAACTCTCTGTCTGTCATGTCTCTAGTCCCTTTAATATCTTAGGATGCCTTTCAGTCTCTGGAAAACCCAGAGGGCTGCTGGGCACCTTCCTGCCTGACTCAGGATACCAGTTTAGAAGGTGGGTCCCGAAGATGTGCACAGCTGCTGGCTCCATTTCTCACACTCCGTTCTTTTCCTTCACAGCTGGCAACGTGGGACTCAGAGAAGGGCCTGAATGGCAGCCTGCAAGAGAGGCCCATGGGCAGCCGTCTCCAAGGACTGACTCTCAAAGTGGTGACTGTCTTGGTAGGATCATGGAGATATTCTGGGAGCTTCACCATCCAGGCTTTTGAGTCAGAGGCTGCTTTCTGTTTAATGCTGGGTTTGGAGACAAAGGGATCTTCAGGAGTGGTCTGACCTTTCATAAGGCCTCTTATTCAAATAATTGTGTGAATCATGAAGGGCAGAGTAAGGTTGGAGATTCTGTCCAGGGCCTCCAAGCCTTCATGGAAGGTCCCTGAGCTGCTCTAGAGAAGGAACGCTCATCCACATCTGCTGCTGAGCTCCAGAGGGGCCCAGATGCTCCACTTGTTCTTGGGTGTAGACTGGATCTTAACCTACTGCTGGGCCTTAGGAGAGCTGTGCGGGTAGCCAGGGTCCCTGCAAGATGCGGGAGGAGGACATTCATTCTTCCAGCATCCAGCATCACCATGTGACACAAAATTCATAATGAACACCATTTGTCAGTTGCCATTTTTTTGCACGATTGTCCAGAAGTCATAGACTTTTACACAGACTTTTTCAATTTCTTTCTTTTGCCTTTTTAGAAGAACTTTAGGAGACATCTTAAATTTACCTCTTATTGGCTGGGTCAGACATGGTCCAAATGCTTCCCTCTGTCCCAGCAGGCTCTGGTGTCCTCTTGGCTCAGAAACATTTGGCAGCAGAGTTTCTGCGTTCCTCATATGCACTGCATGGATAAACCTTACAGCCTATTTTCCCAACAAAAGTAAATTAATGAGATATATTCTCTAGGGATGTTTGTGGGAAGCACCCTTCTTGCTCAGTTTCACATGAGAAGGAAAGAATAGGAAAAGGTAGGAAAGGTCGAGGTGTTTTCCAAATGCCACCTACTCCCCCATGTGGCACAGCACAAAGTGTGTGGAGGCAAACACGGCATGGCTTTGGACTTGGGAACTGTGGGTTTTAATCCAATCCTATTCTTTGACTCACAGTGTGACCTTGGAGCATTAATCATCATCCATTTTCTAGCACAACCTGATAGATATAATACTTCTTCTCTCAATCTAATATCACGGAGCTTTATTGCCATTTATTATCCTGGATGAGGAGTGTCCCATTTCTCATGTGGGTCCCATAGACTTATGGCATTTCCTAAGGACAGAGCCCTGGTTCTGCATGAATGTTAGAAATGAAGGAACAAAAACAAGCCATGTTATTCCAGGATGACTTAAGACAGGGCAAGTAAATCCATACTCACAAAATCCTGCTGATTGGAGCAATTGTCTGTTGCTCTGTACCCTGAATGTCCATAAAGTGCTTTTAGAAAAGGACAGAGAAGTTCAGCTTCCAGTCCTAAATTGGATAAATACAAATGCTCTAAAGTTATGATTCATCAGATTGGTCTCTCCAACAGCATCCTGGAAATATGTGTTAGTGAGCCTGTTGTTTAATTGAAGAACATCCATTCTGTTGTCCTCAGGAAGAGCCTTTTGTGATGGTGGCTGAGAACATCCTTGGACAGCCCAAGTTATGATTCATCAGATTGGTCTCTCCAACAGCATCCTGGAAATATGTGTTAGTGAGCCTGTTATTTAATTGAAGAACATCCATTCTGTTGTCCTCAGGAAGAGCCTTTTGTGATGGTGGCTGAGAACATCCTTGGACAGCCCAAACGCTACAAAGGGTTCTCCATAGATGTCCTGGATGCACTGGCCAAGGCTCTGGGCTTCAAATATGAGATTTACCAGGCCCCCGATGGCAGGTACGGTCACCAGCTCCATAACACCTCCTGGAACGGGATGATCGGGGAGCTCATCAGCAAGGTAGGTCCCAGAAGCAGATTCTTGGGGAGGGGCCCCCTAGTCTGCCTGTGGGCTCACATCTCAACCTGGCCCATGATGCAGTTGAAACCTTGTGGCCAGCTAAACAGCCCACAACCACCATTCCCCCATGTGCCGAGGCCCTCTTTTCCTCAATCCCCCCGCTGTGCCTGTTTCTGCTTTTTCATCTTCTCACTCTCTGGTGCTCTGTGTTTTCCCTCCCTGCCCTTCAAAACTCCCACCCACACTGGACTGAAACAGGAATGAATTCCCACTGGGGGGTACCGGTGGGTGCATATTCTCCTGTCCTCACAGACCACAGGTGGGGTGTGTACACGCACGTGTGTTTAAGGATGCACACATGTGCGAGTGTGCATGTGTCCACATCACTGTGTGTTGGTCGTGTGGCATTCCTGAGCTCTCATACTCTTTGCAAGTCATTAGTCTCCCTCCCTTCTACAGACTCTGAGTCCTCATTGACACTCACAGCATGAGGCCAGTTCACAATGTCCCTTCCTTGCCCAGGTCATCTCATGACCTTTGGGTCATTTCCCCACAATCATTTATAATGGTGGAATCTGATCAGACACTGTCTCTCAGTATAACTGCTGCCACCAAACTTGACAAGTTCTGACATTTCCATGGACAATCCTGGACTCCAGAGCTTGGACCTCCTCCCCTCCAGTGAGCCTCACTGTGCTCCACTCCAGCGCCCCTCCCATGCATCTTGCCAGCGTCCCCACGTCCCCATTCCTAGCCCACTTTGTGACCACAACTTGTCCTTCTGACTCTTTCAGGCACTTACTCCTAAAACAGAGGCCCTTTGCTTTCTGAACCTATAAAGGCAGACATTAGGCCTGGAATCTCTTCAATTTCTTTTCATCTTTATTTTAAAAAACAATTTCATTGTAATAAAATTGCATAGTATAAAAGTCACCCACTTTAGATGTACAATTCAGTAATTTTTAGTAAATGTACCAAGTTGTGCAACCGTCGCCATAAGCTAGTTTTAGAATATTTCCATCACCTTACTGAGACCTCTCATGCCTGCTTACAGTTAATACCATTCCCACCCCAGCCCTAGGCAACCATTAATACATTTTCTATCTCAATGGAGTTGCTTTTGTGAACATTTCATATAAATGGAGTCATGCAAAATGTGGTCTTGTGTGTCAAGCTCTTTCCACTTAACATACACATTTGAGGTTCATCCTTCTGGTATGTTCTGTGCCCTTCGGACACTGCAGGCTTCCCTGGCTACTGTGCCCTCGTGGTTAACCAGACAAACCCCTGTTCCTTTCATCCCTTCTGATTCCCTGTTTTCTTGATTTCTCGTTGCATCCAAACTCTGAGTTGATTCTATCATCCACCCTTTTTACTCTGACCAACCTCAGCTGGGCCTTCCATACAGTTCAAGACCTTTAACTTGTCCTTTGCTGGGCCCCGTGGCTACATCACTGAGAGACTGTTCCAAAAGTTTACTTTCTCCTCGGACTATCTAATCATCTTCTCTCATTCTCAATTAAAAAAACAACAGGCTATATTCCTATATTGAGAAAAGAACTGGAGACGTCTGGGCGTGCGATTCTGTTTCTGCTTCCTATGAAATTCACACTGCAAGGCACCTACCCTCCCTGTCACAGGGGGAGGGTCTCTGCCTGTCACAGGTCCACCCCTCCACCTGTGTCATGCATAGATTCCCTTGTGCCTCCTCTGGACCTTGCTTCATAAATTATTTCCCCCCCATCCTGTCTTATAAACCTATAAGACAGCCCTTAAATGTGCTTCAAACCTTCTTAGGTCTAAAAATAGATACCTAGATGTTGGATTTCTGAAAAGAGAAGCAAGAACCAGAGATGCAGGTGTGACAAGTATAAGAGAAGAACTCAGACATAGTCACCTCCAGTGCTTTCCTCCTTACTCTAGATCGTTGTTGGATCTCACAGTTTAGGTCACTGGTGTATCTACCTCTTCACCATGTTATACTTTATATAATCCCTCTATGGGCGTTTCCCCATTTTGAGCATGTAGGTTGAATCAGCTGTGACAACTGGCTGTTGTAAACACACCTGGTTCTGCTGATCCCTTCCACTTGGAGCCCAAGGGCCAAGATCAAGGTGATGACTGTGCCTTTCAGTGCTCCAGACCCCAGTATTACCGGCCTTCTACCCATCTAGGTGAGCATGTAGGTTGAATCAGCTGTGACAACTGGCTGTTGTAAACACACCTGGTTCTGCTGATGCCTTCCACTTGGAGACCAAGGGCCAAGATCAAGGTGATGACTGTGCCTTTCAGTGCTCCAGACCCCAGTATTACCGGCCATCTACCCATCTAGGCATCAAGGTGATGACTGTGCCTTTCAGTGCTCCAGACCCCAGTATTACCGGCCTTCTACCCATCTAGGTGTGAGGCTCTCAACTTCCACCAAACTTGGTAGCTTCATCTTCAGTTTAATTTCCATCTTAATGGAGTCTCTGTTTGTAAAATAAAGCCTGTTTTGGAAAGCAAAACTCTGGGGTGGTAATTTTGAGGTCACAGTACAGCATGTCCAGAGACTCTTCTCAAGATGGCTTTATTATGGCAAGAACCAACCCATGTGTCTGCAGGCAATGAGTTAAGGATAGTGGAAAATCAAAATAGGTACTGACCCCTTTCTTTCTGGAGGATTTACCTTCAGGCAGAGAGTCTGAAAATGAAACAATCAGAGACCGATATGTTAATGGGATTCAAGGTAGTTGCATAACTCGACATATAACTTCTAAAATATTTTAGAGAAGATATCAGTGATGTGATCCATGTGGGATGATGGCGTTTGGAGAGGCTTGGTGGAGGAATGAAGTGTGCCTTGGCCTTGGTGTCTATGGAGGATGCATAGACACCTAGAAGACAGAAGGGCCTTCTTGGTGGGGTGGAGGGAAACACAGACAAAAGGAAGGGGACCACTAAAGCTTGCTAGGGAGCAATAATGAAGTGAAGAAAAACTACAATTCATAGAGTAACGAAGATGCTTTACTAGACTCTTTTCTCCAAAGAGGCTTCCGGGAGTTTTAAGGGTAGGGGAGAGAATTTCATAAGGTGGAGGAGGTAATAACACACACTTAGTGTTGGATTTTCCTTATGATATTCAAAGTCACAGTGTGTCAACTTTCAAGTCCATTTCCTCTGGACAGAACAACACCAAGGGCAGAGGCGGGGACCCTGACCCAGGGCAGAACCCAGCAGCAAGCCGAGCACTGCCCCTCATGATGTGCTTTGCCTTTCAGAGAGCAGACTTGGCCATCTCTGCCATCACCATCACGCCGGAGAGAGAGAGCGTGGTGGACTTCAGCAAGCGGTACATGGACTACTCGGTGGGGATGCTCCTCAAGAAGCCCGAGGAGAAAATCAGCATCTTCTCCCTTTTCGCTCCATTTGACTTTGCGGTGTGGGCCTGCATTGCGGCTGCCATCCCTGTGGTTGGCGTGCTGATATTTGTGTTGAACCGGATACAGGCCGTGAGGGCTCAGAGTGCTGCCCAGCCCCGACCGTCTGCGTCTGCCACCCTGCACAGCGCCATCTGGATCGTTTACGGAGCCTTCGTTCAGCAAGGTACCTTCCTGGCTGCCTGATGGTTGAGTAGCACCTGGGGCCGGGAAGAACTTATCCACAGGCAGAGTTTTCGGATGCATTTTGCCAAAGTCATTTAAAATGCAATTTTATTTCATCTCTAGGACAGTACTAATATCATGCAGCACCCAATTTCTCTGAGTAACATCAGAAATTAAATGAAACGACAAGAAACACAACTTCAAATCCAGATTCTCCACTTTAGATAAAATTAGCTCTGGATTCTGCTCTGTGCTTGTCTCTCCTCCCACATTAGATTGATTGCTATGCACATGAGGTTGTCAAATGAAGCTCTGAATCTGGCTTAAATTTGAAGTCTTAATGGGAAAAAAAAGTCACAATTGTGTTCAAATCACCTGAGCAGTACTCCAGCCCTTCTGGAGTTGCAGTCTCCTGTCTCTGAGAGATCTGGAGATAGCACATCATCCAGTGGTGAGTTACAGGACTGTGCAATGTGGATTGGAATCCACAAATTACAAAGTTTCCAAAGTGAGTCTTGGCCCTCACTAAGGGGCTTGAAGCATGGCTAACGCTTTGCAAGGTTACGCAGGGAGAACAGGCTTTAAGAATCTTTCTTCTGTTACCACCCTTAGGTGGACCAAGGAGAAGTGATCAAAAAGCCAGCTTCTGACTAAAAGTCACATGCAATGATTTCTGAAAATCTTGGGGAAAAAGTCGCCTAGAGAGGGCTTCAGTATTAGTAAAAGTGATAAGATACATCTCATTTCTCAGGTTTAAAAGAAAGCCAGGGAACCCTCCGGGTAGAAGATAATTCTATATTTACAGAATTCCTGAGTCTCCTCTATGTGAACTTGGAATTGGAAAGGGAGCTCACATCAGGCTGCAGCCCTAGAACTTCTTACCATTATGAGGTAGCCTCTTCTAACTGGAAAATTTTGATATTCAGAGCTCTATCCTCGGTGCTTTGACAAACTTCTCGTCACCGGAGGGCCAATCCTAACTTTTCCATATTTTGGGGTCCTTCATCCCTTTCCAAGATTGGTGCTTTTAAGATCCTTTCCCAGAATTGGTATAGTCCCCCCATACCCAGCTGTCAGTCACTTCCTTGGTCCTCAGCCCATCTCCAATGGCAGCGTGTGTGCCCGGCTGCAGGTGGAGCACCTCCTTGGGGGTGGGAGTCAGAACAGAAGCTGCAGCCGGTCCCCCTTGCCTACTTCCTGCAGGTGGCGAATCTTCCGTGAACTCGGTGGCCATGCGCATTGTGATGGGCAGCTGGTGGCTCTTCACCCTCATCGTGTGCTCCTCCTACACGGCCAACCTTGCTGCCTTCCTCACAGTGTCCAGGATGGACAATCCCGTCAGGTAAGCCTATTCCTCCTTCTAGATCTAGAACCGTCAACTCCGAGAAGCGTTAAAGGGGATGTAAACCTGTCCGGAAGAGAGCCTGGAAGCACAGACGGCCTCAGATTTCAGATCTGCAGTTGATGATCAGAATCTTTAGTGAGTGAAGAAGAGCTTCACTCCTGTTTTATTTTATTTCATGCACAATTACATAAATGTATACATTCATTAAGTCATATTTCTCTGAACATTTAAATGCTGCTTACAAAACAAATAAATCAAAACATTAAAATGAACACATTAAATTTTCTCAGACATTTAAACGTTGATTACAAACTTATTTAGTCAAAATTTTATAAACAGTTAAAATTAAAGTCACAAGTCTAATATATTTTTCAAATCTTCAAACACCTTAAAAGCATGCTAATTATCACAATGATTAGAAAATTTCTTTCACTTCCGTTTATAAAATTATACAATTATTGAAACCAAGGACTAACCGTTTTTCTTGATGTTTACAAAATGTTAAAATTATGGCATGAACAATTAGTTCAATGTAGTGAAATAATTCTTGGAAATATCTTTGTTTTATGATCAGATTCCCAAATCCAGTGTAAATTTCAAAAGAACTTGGACAGAGTGAATGAGTGTTGATATGTGGTTGCTGAAGTGGCCATAGGCATGGATGTGTCCTGCACTTCGTTGGGTACAATATTAGCTTCAATATTACTTCTCACTTGAGCACTGATTATGGTTTTTTGAGCTTCTGCTTTTAGTAACTTCCCCATTAATCCATCATACTCACTATCATTGTACTGGTATTTTTGATCCACTGCTCTAATCAAGTCATCCATACTCAACCAGCTTCTATGGCTCCCGACCGCCTATTTAAAAGCATTTAAACTCCTTGACTAGAATTGAAGATTCAGTATATTATCTAGTATCTTTATTACATTGACATTTTTACTGAGATAACTATAGGTTCACAGGCAGTTGTAAGAAGTAATGCAGATAGGTCTCCTAGGATGCTTTACCTAGTTTCCACCAGTGGTAACATTCTGCAAAACTGTAGTATCCTACCACAACCAGGGTATTCACATTGACACAGTTGGCTGATTTTAGCCAGACTTTCCTGTGTGTGTGTGTGTGTGCATTTGGTTCTGTACAATTTTATCATGTGGGTAGATTTGTGCATTCACCACACAGTAAAGATGTAGTATCCTACCACAACCAGGGTATTCACATTGACACAGTTGGCTGATTTTAGCCAGACTTCCCTGTGTGTGTGTGTTTATGTGTATGTGTGTGTGCATTTGGTTCTGTACAATTTTATCATGTGGGTAGATTTGTGTATTCACCACACAGTAAAGACATGAACACTTCCATCGCCACAGGGATCCATTGTGTTGTCTTTTGGTAACCACATCCATCTCCTTCACATTTCTTCCCCTCACACCCTGTTCCTAACCCCTGGCAATAACAAATTGTCCTCTATTTCTAAAATGTTGTCACTTTAAATGTCTTACATAAATAGAATCATACCTTTTGGGGTTGGCTTCCTCATTCAGCATAATTCCCTAGAGATTCATGTGGGTGCTTGTGAGTGTTAACAGTTCATTGCTTTATGGTTGAGTAGTATCCCTGTACCGCAGCCTGTCTGACCGTTCATCCATTGAAAGATGTCTGGGTTGTTTTCAGATCTTGGCAATTATGAATAAAGCCACTGTAAACATTTGTGTGTAGGTTTTTGGGTGGACATAAGTTTTCATTGACATATGATAAATGCCCAATAGTGCAAAAGTTGGGTTGTATAGTAATTGCATGTTGAGTTTTATAAGAAACTATCCAACTGCTTTCCAGAGTAACTGTTCCATTTTACATTTCTACCAGTGATGTAGGAATGATCCAGTTTCTCTGCATCTTTGCCAGCATTTGGTGTTGTCACTATTTTTTGTTTCACTGTTCTGAAATGTGTGGAATGTATCTCATAGTGGTTTTAATTTACATTTCCCTAATGACTAGTGATGTTGAACATCTTTTCATGTGCTTATTTGCTGTCTGTATACCCTTGTCAGTGAAATATTTTGCCCATCTTGTAATTGGATTGTTTTACTATTACTGTTGTGTTTTCAAAGTTCTTTATATATTTAGATACTAGTTCTTTATCAGATCTGTGCAAATATTTTCTCCCACTCTATAGATTGTCTTTTCAAACTCTTAATAGAGTTGTTCACAGAAAAAAGTTTTTTAATTTTGATGAGGTCAAATTTAAAAACTTATACCTTCATAACTTATTATGTTTTTGCTTTCATGTCTTTGCCTAGCCCAAGGCCCTGAAGATTTTCTCCTCCTTTTTTTTTTCTAAAATTTTTATAGTTTTACATTTTACATTTCAGTCTACAATCAATTTTGAGTCAATTTTAGTGTAAAGTTTGAGGTTTAGGTTAAGATTCTCCCCCCAACCTTGTCTATTGAGCACCATTTGTTGAAATGGCTATCCTTCCACGATTGAATGTACCATACACACACACACATGCACACATGCACGCACACATGCACACACATACACATGCATGCACACACACACACATGCACGCACGCACATGCATGCACGCACGCACGCATAAGCATGCACACACACACACATGCACACATGCACGCACACATGCACACACACACACATGCATGCACGCACGCACGCATAAGCATGCACACACACACACATGCATGCACGCACGCACGCATAAGCATGCACACACACACCCCATAATGTATCATAATTTTGTGTGTGTATTTGTGTAGTGAAAACATTTGATATCTATTCTTTTAGCAAAGTCTAAATATATAATACAGTATCATTAACTATAGTCACAGTGCTGTACACTACATCTCCAGAACTTTTTCATCCTATCTAACTGAAACTTTTTGTACCCTTTGACCAAAAGCTCCACATTTTCCCCAACTGCCAGTCCCTGGAAACAACCATTCTTCTCTCTGCTTCTGTGAGTTTGACTTTCTAAGATTCGACACATAAGTGAAATCATGCAGTATTTGCCTTTCTGTGCCCAGCCTAGCACATTTGGCTTAGCATGATGTCCTCTAGGTTCATCCATGTTGTCTCCAATGACAGCGTTTCCTTCTTTTTGAGGCAGAGTTATACTCCATTGTGTAGATACCACATTTTCTTTATCCATTTATCCAGGGGTGATATTCATGTCTTGGCCATTGTAAATAATGCTGCAATGAACATGGGAGTACAGATGTCTCTTTGACACTGATGTTATTTCCTTTGGCTATATACAACAAAGTAGGACTGCTGGATTATGAGGTAGTTCTGTACATCAGTTTTTGAGGAACGTCTACACTGTTTTCCATGAGTGTACTAATTAATTTCCCAACAACAGTGTACAAGGGCTCCCTTTTCTCTACATCCTTGACATCATTTGTTGTATTTTGTCATTTACATAATAGCCATGCCAGCAGGATTGTAGTGATAGCTCATTATGGTTTTGGTTTGCATTTTCCTGATGATTAGTGATCTTGAACATTTCTTCATATATCTGTTGGGCATTTTTATGTCTTCTTTTGCAAAATATCTCTTCATGTCTTTTGCCCATTTTTAACTGGATTATTTGTTTTCTTGCTATTGAGTTGTTTGAGTTCTTTACATATTTTGGATATTAGCACATTATTAGATGTATGGTTTGCAAATATTTTTTCCCATTCTGTAGGCTGTCTCTTCACTCTGTAGGTTGTTTACTCTGCTGTACATAAGATTTTTAGTTTGATGCAATTCTGTTTGTTTATTTTTGCTTCTGTTGCCTGTGCTTGTGGGGTAATATCCAAACAATCATTGCCCAGATCATTGTCAAAAAGGTTTCCCCCTATGTTTTCTTTTGGAAGTTTAACAGTTTCAGGTCTCATATTTAAGTGTTTAATCAATTTTGAGTTATTTTTGTATATGGTGTGAGATAAGGGTCTATTTTCATTCTTCTGCATGTGGATATCCAGTTTTCCCAACACCATTTACTGAAGAGAATGTCTTCCTCCTTGTGGGTCCTTGTTAACTTTGTCAAAGATCAATTGACTATAAAGGTGTGGGCTTATTTCTGGGCTCTCTCTTCTCTCACATTGATCGATATGTCTGTTTTTATGCCAATATCATACTGCTTTGATGACTATAACTTAGCAATACATTTTGAAATCAAATACTGTAATGCCTGCAGTTTTGTTCTTCTTGCTCAAGGTTGCTTTGGCTATTTGAGGGTCTTTGGTGGTTCCACATGAACTTCTGAATTGATTTCCTACTGCTGTGAAAAATGTCATTGGAGTTTTGATAGGCATTGCACTGAATCTTTAGATGGCTTTGGGTAGTATGAACATTTTAACACTATTAATTCTCCCAATCTATTAATACAGGCTATCTTTCCATTTGTGTCTTCTTCAATTTCTTTCACCAGTGTTGCATATAGTTTTCAGTATACAGATCTTTCCCCTCTTTGGTTAAAGTTATACCCAAGAACTTTATTTTTATGCTATTTTAAATGGGATTATTTTCTTGATTACTTTTTCAAATACTCTGTTGTTAGTATATAAAAACACTCCTGATTTTTGTATGTTAATTTTGTATCCTGAAAATTTACCGCATTTATTTATTAGTTTTAACACTTATTTGGTGAAATCTTTAGCATTTTCTGTATAGAAAATCTGTCATCTGCAGAGACCATTTTACTTCTTCCTCTCTAATTTGAATTCCTTTTATTTATTTTTATTGCCTAATTGCTCTGGCTAGGACTTCCGGTCCTCTATTGGATAGATATGGTAAGTAAGAGTGGGCATTCTTTTCTTGTTCCTGATCTTGCAGGAAAAGCTTTCAGCTTTGCGCCATTGAGTACGATGTCAACAGCAGGCTTGTCACATATTGCCGTTATTATTTGAGGTACATAAATTCTATTTCTAGTTTGTTGAGAGTTTTTTTTATCATGAATTTTGCCAAATGCTTTATCTACTGTGTTAAGATG